CTTTGCTAAATAAAATGATAAATAATGGACGAGTTATAGGCAATACATTTTTCTGTGAAAAATTACCCCCCCTAAAAACTCAAAAAGTGGACAATTTCTTTTTTAATCACCCATGTTGACAGAAGGAACAAGTTGCATTAGCATACGTACCCTTGAATTGTTACCGTACACCACACAATGGTCAACGTGGAGGCTTTTTTCCCGACTTGCGTGCAGCTTATTTGAGCCACGCGTCTCCACGTGTTGCTCTCATTTTACGCAGTAGGCGACAATGGTTGTTCACCTCGGGGTCCATTTTTATGAACTTACAAATGTTCCATTTAATTTGGCAATGAGCAATATGAACATAGAAGAGGGAAAAAAGACATGCAAATGTTGTTTTCATTACATGCTATATTTTGCGTGTCGAAAATCTACACTAATTATTATTAAAGCATCAAAAAGGAAATTGCTTAGTGTTCTGTATGTAAATACGTGTTAAAGCATGTCAGCAGTTATATCACAGCAGTATCTTTTAATATATAGTTAATTGCTATCAGAGATCAATATAAAACGGCTTTCGCTGATTAAAAATTGTGCACGAGCTGTTGCAATGGGATTAATGACCCCCTGCATTAAAATGAAAGTAAAAACAATTTGAAGGGTGAGGTAATGTCACCACTACCTGCCAGATATTTCAGAATCCTGACAAAAGCCATCACACTCCGGGAGACTTGTTCTTCTACAACATTGAACGTTTTTTTCTTTTTTCTCAAATTGGGTTCGTCTTGCTGTAGGTGGTTAATTATACCCCACCGTATTTACCTTTCACTGCGTCAGATTGAGAGTTGCAGTGGCGGGAACAGTAATCTGGGTTTAATTCCCAGTTCCAACACATAAGTTTCCAACAGTTTAATTGGATTCTAATTGCTTTCTTTATGCAACAGCCTTAAGCCAATTGCATTCAGGGTATCATAACAGACCTCCGTTCAATTTATGCATTCATTTAAGAAATTAAATTACAGTTACATCGTAAGGATGTTCAACATAAAATGCATGTAATTTGCATGCTCAATTTAAAACAAAATACACACCATTGTAAATGTTTTACTCTCGTTGGATTGATGGGGATGATTATGTTTGAAGAGCAGTAAATGAGCTTTTGCCAAAACACTGGCCTACCCTGTATTTTCTCTTCTAGTACAGGACAGTCTTAATTACGATTGTATTGAGGTGTTTTGACCAGGCTTGTACACATTCACAACGATATCCCTCTCGTTTTACTTCAGCTTTCGCTCGTAACTTTTGCGGGATAACTTGTTTTATAGTTTTTAGCAATGTTGTTCATGAAGTTTTGCGACAATTTAATGGGAACTGAGGCCTCGGTTATTCCCTCCTCTCATGGAAGTGTGTGCACGTGTGTAAGATGTGTGCATAGTTGCTTTTCCTAGGATAATTCAATAAGGATTGAGGCGCCATAAGGATGAACGGCATTATAAAAAAAAAACGGTTGTAGAAGGCCATGAATTTTTATAACCGCATAAAAAAAAACTTATATCAATATAATTCGAATCTAAAATATGATATCGTAGAGGGTATTTTTCCCGGAAATTTAATGAGTTTTATGAATGCATTCACTACAACATAAATATGGAACATAACTAATGTAAATCTAACCCCCGCTCCCCCAACCAAAATTATATACTGCACAGTCTAAGTGTGTTGGATCTTATTCCCATGGTACATAAATATAGCACAGATCACCTCTGCAGTGTTGCTGGCGGGGACTCAGCCCCCCTCCCTCCGTGCTGAATGCCTCGGCACCCCCATTAAATTTCCATCCTCGGGTAAAGCATTGGTGGAGCGACGTTGAGCAACATGAGTGGTGACAATTACGTAGTGGGCGTTACAGCCTTTTCTAAAAAAAAATAGATAAAAAATTCTGTTTCTGAAATGCATAGGGGATGAGAATGTACGATAGACAAAAGGCAGATGGTTTCTTGGGGCTGCCTGAGGAGGCAAGATGTTATTTCCCTCGCCTGGCATGCAGGGAAGTTTTCTAGGGTTCGTTCCAGACCCTGGTGATGCCTGTATATCTGGAATTTGCATGTTTTCCCCGTGTCCTCCGGATATGCCCTCCACGTTTTAAAAAGTGCATTTTGAATATTTGTCAACTATACTTTACCACATATGATAAGCCAAGTGGCCACATTTGTGCTATTAGAGTTAATAGCTCCGTGCACTTTATCTGGTAAATAAAATAGTTTAGTAAAAAAAGTTATTTAGCAGTTAACATTTCTTTAAAGTTAGTTTAAGATCAACTGTATCTACATCACTATCTGATCTGCATATCTCATCTCTTATTTCACTCCGTCTCTTGCCTATATCTCTTTTGTGCGTCTCACGAGGAGTTAAAACATTTGAAAGGGGCCCCCCAAAAGTAATGTCTGCTTAGGGCCCCCATTGGGCCTGCTCCACCACTGACTGGCAACCCTACCCTGGGTGTCAACATTTAGGACTTGGTGCGTGAGTGCAAGAGTGCCCGTTACACTGCGGAGTAGCCCACCGTTACATTTATGGCACATGTAAATAAACTTTCAAGCTTACCAAACGTTTTGGGGTAAATGTTATCATTTCCTGCTCATGATTGCCTGCCTTGTTTAAGACGGACCTGTAATATATATGGGACATTCGTACAAGTACAATTGTCCAATATCTGTCCGGTTAATACACAAACATATATACTGCAATGCATAATCTACGCATGATCAAAGTTGCAAGATGTACGTATCGTTTATGTCTATATATGCAATGCTCACGTACATTTGTGTTTGTCATGCATAAAAGGGGAAAACTTTAAATTAGCTAATTGGTCTCATAAATTTGGAGAAAGAATACGGTAATGTGTTTGACTCGCAGATAAGTGTATTATAATGAAGCTATACGGAGTCAATCATAGCCTCTGAATGAAGGCCATTATGATCGTTACGTGTAATTGTCTTAATGAAGATTTAAAACATTATTGATTTATATAAAAAATATAGTAGTGAAATTTTTACGTTACAAATATGCAGTATAAACGGAGATGAATATGTCTAGAATTTTATGAACTTTCCGAAAATTTTAAATGTCACCAGGGAAAGTGACATTTTAAGAGCATTATCATGGCATGCTCACCTTGTGTGCAAAATGATTTTCTCCCAAATATAAATTCATCGCATATTTTGTTACAATGGGGCGTGAATGCGAGGCAAAATTATACACAACAGTAGTAAGGCACTGACATTCACCTAGGAGATGGAAAAAATTGCTTGTGTGATGGTGCTGAGAGGTGGCGTAAACTTAGGGAGGCGTTCATCAAGCAGTGGTTAGACCCCTGGCTGATGATGGTGATGATGGTGGAGGCTTGGGGAAGCCTTCATGCAGCAGGCCATGGCTAACGACGATGATGACTACGACAATGATAAGACACCATGATTGGTGACGTAGAGTTGCATACATAACAGCCTCGCAAGGCGTAGTATTTTAAATTATATTTTTTTTAGTGAAAAATTCCATTGTGTACCTGCGTTAATGCCAATGAATTGTCTCAATGCATAAGAAATTTCACATGACGTAACACGAAATATTTTGTATTTTCATTGGTAATATATTTACGGGCATAAATGTTTAGCACAACAAAGCTTACACACGCAAAAAAGTAATGTGCGTCTGTTGGCTATTTAAGCATGTGTTGGGATTAGGTAATGATGAATCAATCCATTTTCGGAGGAGTTAATCTCGATGCCTGATCTGCACATACAGATGTTCCTGAATAAATAATTCGCCATGTGGCGTGATGCTATATCTGTTCCTAATGTTTTTTAATAAATGTAGGCAGGCGGATAATGAAAAAAAGAATATTCAATTGAAGTGCAAACTTCTGTTTTGGTATTTAAATTTGTAAGTTCGACATTTATAATAATGTCTTAACATAATTATTGTTTCGTAGATAAACGAGATGTGCTTTAATATTGGATAAAACTTTCATTTTAATATGCCTAAGACAATCGTAATAGAAATATTTAATAATTATTGTCCTATTTGCTGCATGCAGTTTAAATGGATATTTTTTTTTCTTCTCATTTAATCTTCTACATTAAAGGCATGCGTTTGGATTTGCAGCATTATTGGCAATGTTGAAGGAGTCCAGCGTTCAAAGATAAAATTATTCAATAACGAATGCATGCAAAAAAGAAAATCAATTATGCCTTTTTATCCATTAATTACTTATTTATGCACCGGCCATTTAAGTTATTTCCTTTTAGGTTTTAGCCAATAAAGTATACGTAGAAAATGTTTTATTATGAAGACCGAGCAAACATTAAAAAAAATTAAGTTGCTGATATATATTTGAGGTAAGCGTCCAAGTAAAAACGAAGCCAAACACAATGAGACGATGTACAACCGTGCACGACATCTCGCACGCGAGTCGAACAATCGCTCGCTCGCAAGCGGGCCTGCAATCGGCCTCGATCCCAACATGCCCTTTTCACGTGCCCTTAGCTGCGCGGGTACTTCCTCGTCTATCCCGAAACGAGCCCCTTGCGGTGACCAATAATGTGCGAAGTAAACGGACAGAACTTTCCAAGACGGCGTCGTTCCTCTTCATCACTTCCACCCCATTTGCAGAGGGAGCCGCCACCGAAACGTCGATTTCCCCACCGTGTGTCTCCGCGTGGCTTTCACTGGGCAGCTCTCGCTTGACCACCCACGCTGGGGCCAGTCGATCGCCGATGCCCCCTGCTCTCCGTGGCGAGTGGTGTGCCCGCGAGTGCTGTCGGAGCGTTGCAGCCAAACCGCGGACATTTGTTCGGGGCTTTCTTTTGGTGACGTGCCTCATCCTGAATGTTGATGGATGCCGAGTGTGTGATGCAGCCTGCAGGGGAGTGGGTTGGGGGGTTGAGCTCGTGGTGAGAGCACAAAGCACAAGGAGGTGACCGATGGAGAAGCTTCAATGCTCGCGGCCCTCTTGTTCTCAGATCGCCTGGCGAGGCTTTGGGGCAGGGAGGTGACGGGTGGAAACTCCTGCGTTTCCAGCCGAGCCAACTCGGTCCTCACTCTCACCGACACGGAACACGACAACAAGTCCGACAACGAGACGGGTACTCCTGCATTCACGCACCGAAGCCTAAATGTTTGCACCCAGGGCAGGGTTGCCAAGTCAGTGATGGAGCAGCCCCAACGGAAAAAAATATTTTTTGGGCCGCCTCTTTGAATTCATAAATCTCCGAGTGAGATGACAAATGAGACATCGGCAAGAGATATAAATGTAGCGAAATGAGAGCAGAGAGATCCAGATCAGACAGTGATGCAAGACAATGGACAAGGATGGAGTTCAATGAGCGAACAGAGAAACAAGATGGGGATGAGAGAGTTGAATTAGCTTTATACGTGTTAATTCGCTGTTGATGTGCATTAGGGTTTGAATGAAAGCTGATATTTGCTTTGCCCCAATTATTTTAATGAATATTAGCACCACCCCATGTTGCCACCGCCGAGGTACGAAAAAAAAACCCTCGGCATGTGATAGGAATGAGATATCTCACAATGCCAGAAGACGGGAGGGGCTACATGTAGGACAAAACGTCTTGGAGTGCTGCATTATTACACAACTGACAAAAAAGCGGGGACTTTTAATGTCCCCGGGAAGACTTATGGATCCCACGACAGCCATCCGGCAAAGAGCATGTCCTGGGAAAAAGCAGCACCAAGTGGCAACTCTAACTCAAAGGCAGATTGGACAGTGGCCAAGCTGGGTATGACGACATTGGCATTAGATCACCATGACCTCTTGAACTCAAACGATATGGGATGAGGCTGAGCGGCATGTAGGAATGCTGTAACGTCAGCAGTCGACCGATGTGGTTACTCGATACCGTAAGCTGATGCGAAAAAGAGAATGGGGGATGGTGACAACGTCATGATTTGATTTCAACGACAAAATATGAATCTTGTTCCTCTTGTCTTTGTACTCGTATCGTGGTTGTGTATTGTTTGTTGTTGTAACTTGCTCACCCGCCTCCGACTGGACATCTGCGAAAAAGAGCTTTATAGCTCATCGGATTCCTCCAGTATAAATAAAGATTCTGATTCTAACTGATGATACTATTGTGAGCATCTTTGCGAAGTGTACCAAATGCATTTTGTCAAGATGGTCTGCAGCAGGTATTCTATACATGCGGATGTTGTGTATGTATAATAATTAATCTGCATATATATACATCTGATTGGTTTAATGTGATATACTAAATAGGTCCTCATTCTAGTATTGCATTTAAGACCTTCCAATCGTCTTCACACGTACAGTGCACACATTCACATCTATGAAATATCAGATATATAAATAAATGTTATTAACATGTTGGGCCCTGTTTTCCAAGCCACTGCTGGACCAATGCCTCTCTCCATGCCGTGTCAGTAATGGAAATTGCTTACCATACTTCACCATGCGGGTCAGCGTGGGTTTATTAAAAGCAAAGTGCCTTGGACCAGTTCAGATATCACCCCTAACTGATGTTCACTTATATCGTGACCCTGAATCAAGGCAATACATTGCATCAAAGAGGGGGGTGGGGGGGGTAAATCATGAGGTGCCTAGTAGCTTGCTAAAGAATTCGGCTTCATTGTTAGGTTGAGGTCAGAGCATGCATCCATACGTACAGAGCACGCATTCACACGTACAGAGCACGCATCCACTCACACATAGAGAGGCATGCACACAAACACGCGTTTGTGCACACACGTGTTTGTCCCAAGCTATTCTTCAGGCACAAACGGCCAAGTCGATTTCTCCCCTCTTCTGTATTGTTTGTCAGGAATAAATGGGCTGCTGGTTTCTGATTGATTTGTATTAGCAGTATCCTCGTGTAATATAATTAAAATGATAATAATTCATAGCCCTTTGTCAATCCATTGCTGGATGAAGGCTGCCCCACGCCATCATGGCGGTTGATGGATCATACTTGTGCAGGCAGGGCATTGCTGGTCGGTAATGGTGGGGGGGGGGGGGGCAGGACTGGTTCAGATATCACTTGCCACTGATGTTTGCCGTCGCTGGGAATCACATTCCGGTCGCTGGGTTGATAGCGCAGTCTGCTAACCACTGTGCAAGGGTCAGATTGTCGCAGGCGCTTAAGGTGCTGCAGATTGAGGCCTCATATGCAGAGGTGCCCCAAAAACTGCATAACCCACGTGTCATGTTTGAAATACAATACTGGAGCACTCTGATTAATCCTCTCGGTAATTAGGTAATGAAATCGATAGTATCACTATGTGTACTACTACTACCAGTTACGTGCCGAAATGAAAATTGTTTTGTTCTTTTAAACTTGTACGCAGCTTTACAATTCGTATCATGGTTGTTTTCTGTCCGTAGATAGGTCCGAGGCACAATAATCTCCGTGTTGCTCTGTCTTCCACTGCCCGTTGGACATCTTCTCTTGTGGAACACCATCTAGCGTCACGGTTCTTTTCCTGCCCCTTGGGTTTTCCCCCAAAGCATCTCCCCCCGGTCACCACCTTCAGCAATCTGTTCCCCCTCCTCACCACCACCACGTGCACAATCACCTCCTTCGGCAATCCATTCCCCATCACCACCACCACGTGCACAATCACCTCCTTCGGCAATCCATTCCCCATCACCACCACCACGTGCACAATCACCTCCTTCGGCAATCCATTCCCCATCACCACCACCACGTGCACAATCACCTCCTTCCGCAATCCATTCCCCATCACCACCACCACGTGCACAATCACCTCCTTCCGCAATCCATTCCCCATCACCACCACCACGTGCACAATCACCTCCTTCCGCAATCCATTCCCCATCACCACCACCACGTGCACAATCACCTCCTTCCGCAATCCATTCCCCATCACCACCACCACGTGCACAATCACCTCCTTCGGCAATCCATTCCCCATCACCACCACCACGTGCACAATCACCTCCTTCCGCAATCCATTCCCCATCACCACCACCACGTGCACAATCACCTCCTTCCGCAATCCATTCCCCATCACCACCACCACGTGCACAATCACCTCCTTCGGCAATCCATTCCCCATCACCACCACCACGTGCACAATCACCTCCTTCCGCAATCCATTCCCCATCACCACCACCACGTGCACAATCACCTCCTTCCGCAATCCATTCCCCATCACCACCACCACGTGCACAATCACCTCCTTCGGCAATCCATTCCCCATCACCACCACGTGCACAATCACCTCCTTCGGCAATCCGTTACAACCTCACCGCCACCACGAGCCCCAAACCAGATGTTCCCCCTCTTCTTCGTTGATCTAACGAGGTTCACGTTGTTCTCCGACCTGACGCAGCACCTCTCCGCTTGTTTGTTTTTTGATTGTTTGTTTCTGCCCATATTAAATGCGATATGCAATACGTATATCACATTTAACAACAACAACAACAACAAAAAGACAACCGAATCTGAAATAACCAGAGGAAAAACGAGAACGGAGTATTCGACATCGGGCGCGAGCGGTGGCAACACAGGTAAAGAGAGGCAATTGAATGGGCAAAGATTCTCCACCCTCGTCCTCACAGCTCCGAAAGGCCCCAGGGCACCCCCCCCCCATCCATCCAACTTAAACCAATCCTGCCATTGTGCCACTACTCCCTAACATTGCCAGAGTCGTGCTCTCTTGAGCAAGTGTAGCCGAAACTTGCGCGCGCAATGTGCAGAGAACCATAGGGGTTTACAGTGACTCTTTTTTTTGTTTGGAGATGTAGTGCCTTCGGGCGGGATAAGGATTGTTCATTGCCATAGGGAATCACATCCCTCGGGGAAAACAAATAATCTTCTTAAATAATTTAATAACCGCAAGTTATGGACGCATATACATGGTAAATTCAGAGAAAACGTAGACAATCACATCCACTGCAAGTGGAGGATTCCAGAGAAAGAATGCTCCATGTTTGCACATAAATCAAAATAGCCATTAGTGGGCCGCTTTTCATAATAAACGGAACGCAGACGGAGAGCTCTAACCCATTCGCTCACCGTTTCCAAACATCACAGGGCTACGCTAAGTGGTGGCATGGCCACATTGTAATTGTTCTTTTTTTTTTTCCTTGGTAAAGATTAGGAACGGGCTCGCGACGGAAACCAGGGTCAAGCCACACTGCATCCTGGGGGAAATTATTGGCGGTGGAGAGAAGAACAAAAAAAAACTTGCCTCCAAATGCCCTCTCTGGAGGAGCGTTTGCAACATCTCGATGCTTGGGCTTCCACTGACGTGTCGTGGCGGGGACTGCGCGTGCGTGAAAGGGTTAAATCAGATTGGATACTATTTAAATGTGGGCCCTCCACGTTTATTGAGTGTGCCGCTTGCGGGGGCCAGTAAGTGCTTTCATTGTGGTGCCTCTTACAATGCAGCTTGCCAAAGCTGTATGTCTGCGTAAGGGTTAGCAGACACTCAATGAGTATTATTGTGCACAACAATGAGAGAGCTTTTTTTTCTTATTTTTTGAATACAGCTTTTAGAGATGTGTGCAGATTTTAATGTAAGCAAATATGCAAAACATGTTAAACGCCCGCGAAGGTCGTGGTCCAGAAAGGCAGAGGTTGTGGTAGTTCAATTATGCGTACTTAAAGCCTCTCATTTTTTTCTGCGTATTCTTATTTCCATGCGCATTCACGTTCGATTTTATACTGTAAATAGAGGCATTTTAACCTGAAAATTGTATATACTAAAGCCGCTAACAGCTGTCAAAACTGAGTAAATGAGTTTTTTTAACCGTATTCAGAGAAAGGTTGTTTAAATGTGACGTAAGTTGTAATTACAGTAGTTGTAAACTTTTTATCCTAACGACGCAAATAATGGTGGCAGCTCTGGTTAGGCAAATGCACAAATATTATTGTAACAATAACAATCATAACACTTGCTCTGACCTCAACAAAAACGGTTGCTCAAACAACTAACCCTAACCGTAGCACCCTAACCTTCAAAGGGAGGCTCAGAAATAGATTTACGTAGGCTTACAACGCCAACCACAAACCTCGAATTTAAATTTTATCAAGTGATAACGCAACTAATAATATATTCTTGGGGGGAAGGGGAGGGAGGGGGG